ACACAACTTAACTATCAAATATACTAAAAATATAGGAATAAAGTTTAGGATAACCGGTATAAAATAATGAAATAAAGTAATAATGATCAAAAAAATGACACCGCCACTGGATATTTCAATAGTATTCAATATTCCTACTCTTTTCAGAAGTGACCGTGAAGTTGGGGATAAAGCAAGCGAATAGGAAAGGCGTAAAAGCCATGGCAACCGCGTGGTAACAAATCCTGTGACGTACTCGCCAATCATGTTCGATGAATAGGCGGCCATGCGCGGCGATGCCGGTTTGCCGCAGTTTAATAGGCAGATTATACAAAATGAAAGAAATAAATTATTAAATAAAACATATCGAACAATATGAACTACGTTAAAATTCCTTAGTAATATACGTCAGAATATATGCTAAACACATTATATATAATAAAAATATATTAAATTTATAGTTCATGTCTGGCAATTTTGCAATTTTATAGATAAACGTGGCAATATCGATTTTTTTTTTCGCATTCCTTCCGTAGCTTCAGATCCGCTGGTCAAACAGTAGCATTATAGGACATAAATGTATACGAACTTTTTTACTTATTTTTATCTGCAGAATATGCTGCCGAAATTCCCCGAATCCAATTCAAACGGAGAGATTAGATGTAGATTAAACCATGCATCTGTTCAATGTAAGTCACATATCTAGTAATAAAAATTGACCATTAGTTGAAAATGTAATTACTTTCAAAAATAATAAATGAAGTTATTATTGTAATTAATAATGATAAAAGCCCAAAAAAACTTTACTTAATAAGTCACGATGTTGAATGTCGAATGAATGAAACTACTTAGCAAAACAGAAAGTTAAATAAAAACTGAAAAAGTGGGTTCTTTGAAATTAAAAAACATCATTAACCATAATGAAACATATTAAGCATCAGTTAAAATTATGATTAATAAAATTAATATTAAGATTTTATGTTCGTATGCGTCAACTAAAGATATTAAAGACACTCTGCCAACTGTTTCGATTATTGTTTATTGCTGTTTCAAAGAACAGAGTATGCATCGCTATAGCTAAATATGTCGAAGACTTATGTGCGGATCTATTGCATTAATGAAAAACTGGTGGTACTGACCAGTACGCTCAACTTTATTTTTCCAGTCAACAAAATTAAAAAAATATAAATGTTTTTTTTTCAAGTTGGTACGCATAGTGCGGTTACATTAGAACTACCACAGACGCGCAGTTCATTAGCACAGGCTGCACTGCGCAGGACAGTTTGCGAAGTTCTTCATAGAATTTTACTTTTATTTACTTACGCAAGCTTAAAAATTGGTAGTATTGAGAGAAAGAATAATTATGTTTTATATATTAAATTGATGAGTCGGCTTCTTAATAAAGAAAAGTTATTTATATCAGTAAAATCATCAGATTGTTGAAGAGCTGTGAAAAGATCTTTTTAGATTGAAAGTAAGGCAAGTGACGATAAACGTCTATTTTTCATGGAATCTCTACTATAAATTTTAATGCATTTCAAGCATGAAAAATGTCTCTTAACCCAAGTACTCGTAAATGGTGTAGTAACAAACAAAAGAAACAATTTGAAAGCCTCTGGAAATATATTTCCAGGATTATTCTCCTTAAATTATTTTATAATCGAAATTATTATATCTATTATTAAGAGGAGTAAGACAGGGATGTGTGCTGTCTCCTTCGTTATTTAATGTTTATTCTGAGGCGATTTTTCGGGAAGCTTTCTCTTCAGCAGATTGCGGTATTAAAGTCAACGGCGAAGCCATTAACAACATTAGATTTGCCGATGACACAGTTCTTATTGCCGATTCTGATACTGGTCTCCAGAGTTTAGTGGAACGACTTGAAGGCTCCTGTAAGAAATACGGGATGAAGATCAATTCTCTTAAAACTAAAGTCATGATATTTGGAAAGAACCAAAATGTACCAATTCCTATTAAAATAGAGGGCAATACCTTAGAACAGGTCTACAAGTTCAAATATTTGGGGTCCTGGATAGTTAACACCTTGACCAACGACGTGGAAATAAAACCAGAATAGAACAAGCGAGAAATGCATTTTTAAAAATGAAGAACGTCTTCCAGAACCCCAGATTGGACCTAGAGTTGAGAACTAGGCTCGTTAAGTGTTATGTTTGGTCAATCCTATTAGACGGAGCAGAAACATGGACACTGAAAGTTCAAGAGATGAATCGCCTCGAATCGTTCGAAACATGGATATATCGAAGAATGCTTAAAATTCCATGGACAGCCCATATCACAAATACCGAAGTCTACAACAGAATAGGCAGAGAGAGAGAGAACTGCTCAATATAATAAAAATAAGAAAAACATCATACTTAGGGCATATATTGAGGAATGAAAAATACCACGTCTTACAATTGATAGTTAAGGGTAAGATTCAAGGAAAGAGAGGTCTCGGCAGGAAGAAACTATCTTGATTGAGAAACATCAGAAACTGGACTCACCTAACTTTTGAAGAACTTATAAGGAAAGCCGAGAATCGTGAAGATTTTGCCAATGTGATCGCCAACCTCCACGAAAGAGACGGCACGTAAAGAAGAATACCTGCAATTTATTCATTAATTTACGTTGGTCAATAACATTTTTTGTTTGTTAAATCACTATTAAATGCGTTGGAAATGTATCAATATAACAAGTTTGTTAAATTAGATGTTAAATGCGTTGGAAAATTTTTATAGGATTCTTTAAATTTCGAATCCGCAAGAGATAAATAAAAATAATTGAGACATACGAGTACCTATCTGCAAACCTTGTTTCTAAATGTATAACAATGTTATCTAAGATTTCATAAAATAAAATTCGCTGAAAAGATATTTGACTTAGCCGCTTTTAAACCTAGCTAACAAAATAGCACACTGAGACTTTTCTGTAATAGACCTATCTGTTGTATCGTCTTCTTGCGGATTCTTTTACTTCTGTGGCTTGTTCTGAAATACAACCGGTTATATCATTTTGAATAATCTCGGACAAGCCCGAAACATGTTTCCAATTTGCTTTAAACGCTTTTTGAATTTTCATATAAAGTTTTAAATGCTACGTATAATGAATCATATGAAATATCCCCCGAAATGTGATATATGCCCTTATAAAATATCGGCAATATCCCCTTAAGTTCTAAGACTACCGAGCCTCCACGACTTTATGCGAAGGCGACCGGAGATTTCGCCTAAGCCCCGCCTTAATACGATACAACCCCGACTTACGTCGCGTCGCTACCGCACGATGAGTTAGACAGAGACAGAAGGCTGCCGTACTTCGTGCATCGACCCTGACAGTAGGCGATGCAGAAATCGCCGAACAAAGGCACTCCAACGGTCAAAATTATTTTGTTTTCTAACGCAGCGGCACAGTCAGCGTACGCCCAGCGATAGTGAATATTTTAATATACAAGACCACCAATATTAAAATAATATTGATTATTAAAACACACTTCCGTGCATTAACAGTATTTTTATATATTGGCAACGTTAATCAAGACACACGTGACCAAGAACAATAATTAAAAAGGAGATCAAAACAGTAAACCGATCACGGCATGATGTTAAATTTATTTCAAACATCTGGACCCACTGGATGGCACTTACTAAAGCCCTATGCTCCACGTAGAAGTAAAGGGTGTATTTTTTACAAGCCACGTACCCAGCCTCCTCAACCTGTTGCCCTCTCCACCCTCCTCCTCTCCGCATTCTCCCCGCAACCCCCGCGTCATCAATTCGGCCGTGTCTGCGCGCGATAAATAATTCATGAAACAACAATGATTTGTCACGGTTTCGCAACGCTGAACTCGCATCGTAATTAATGTGTTCGAATTTGCCGCGCCACGTTGACGGTGTGCGTCGCATCTGATTCGCTCCGAATTCATATGTCACTGTCAAAAAACACCGACGGAAAATATACAGAGAGCGAGGTTATTAGTTGACAGAAGTGCCACGATGTTATCAATGGCAAATAAAAATTATATCAATTGTAAAGGTAAAAAAAAAAATATTTATAATAATCTGACGATAATAAAGCTTTTGCAAAATAAAACACTTAATTACCAACAGTCAAAGTCGTCAATCCCTCAGACAACAGTCAATCCCTCAACTGCTGAAGGTCTGTAATAAAACACTAGTTCACCATAACATACCAAAAACACTTTGTTGAACTCTGAGCGAACGTTTTGTCAACCATGTTAGCAATACACATCAGCAGATGATTAAAACTGAACTATTATTCGGAAAAAAGAGACAGTATGGACTGGCTATAAAGATAACAATACCTCTTATTATCACCAATCTTCACAAAGATGAAACCAAAATGTTTCAATAATTATTGTTCTGTCTCCTAGATGTGACCACGTAATACACAATAAAACTAGTTTTATAATAGTCATATAACGCTGTGTAAAATAGTTGCATAAGAGTTGTATACCCTTTTTATAGAACTTCTATACTACTAAACGGTTGTATAAAAATGGGCCTTTTTTGGTTGTCAAGCTATCATATTACGGTCATATAGCACGTTATATGAATTGAGGTATCCTATAAAAATTATCACAAAGCTGTTTATACAGCCTTTATAAAATAAAATTTGCTACTTGGGTAATTTATTAGACCTTCTCCAAAGATACGACATACGACTTACTAAAGTAAGCTGTTGCTAGGATATTCTATTACTTTTAATTGGATTTTTTAAAAACATTGTGAATGATCGCAAACTCTTAAGTATAAAGTATAATTGAATTCGCTAATTTATTCCACTAATTTCGAGGTTATGATAAAGAAAACACAAAAAAGAAGAAACTTTCCACGGGGAACGACTTAAAAGAAAATTTTAAAGAAGCTGGTTTCTCAGAACTCACTCAGAACAATGATGAAAAAGCAATAAAATTGTATCAAATATTTGTGGCTAAATGATATTCAGCAGCAAAACAACTAGAACAATACGAGGAAGACGTTACATTTTTGGTTGACACTTACCTTGTGATGTCTTCGGTACTAACTGCCCTTGGAGTACCTGGAGGGTGATGTAAAGCCAAATTCGAGGAGTGGACAGAATGTAAGGATTCCGGATAGCCGTGTGATGCTTTGGTTGCTAAAACAGGAAAATATGTAAATATACAGGGTGTTTCAAAAAACATGTGCCATCTCTCGTAGGGAGATTCCTCACATAAAAATAAGATTTATTTTTTTATATCAACATAGGTCCGATTCTGTTTTGTTTCGTACCTACAGGGTGTTAAAGTTTTATATATTTTTTCGATTTATTATCATTTTTTTCCAAGCACTTTTATCGGTTCGAATGAAATTTTCAGGGTAAAAGTTACTATAAATGGGACATATTTCAAAGCTAAAAAATTGTCGATATATTTACCAGGGACGTGGGAGTTATCACTGGATATTTTTCTAAAAAAAATGCATGTACGCCACTGACTTTTTTTCCACTTGTTAGCGAAATAGTGTAGCCAGTTTAATGCAGATTAAAAGTTGTCTCTTGATATTTTGTCGATTTCGGCCTCCTTGATGAAATAAACGCAATTTTATTAATTTGCCTTGTTCCAGGTCTAATAGCAACTTTTGAAAATTTTTAATATGATTAACTTACGAAAGTTTTAAATAACTACTCATTGATTCTTCATCAAAAAATATGAAAAAAAGTTCCTATAAACATGGGTATGGAAATGCATAGTTTTAGAATTACAGGATGTTAAAATTTTTAAAATTAGTTTTTTTTTGTAATTATCTTAAATAACGTTATTTTTTATTTAAAATTGCTGTAAGTTGGACTAATAGTAATAATAACTGATAGTAATAATATTTAATAAGAAATTAGGTAAAATATATAATTTATTAATTTTATTTTTATTTTAATTTTATTAATTGTGACTAATAAAATTGCGTTTCTCATCAAGAAGCCCGAATTCGACAAAATATCAAGAGATAACTTTTAATTGGCATTAAACGGCCAATAAATTGCATTAAACACAATTTTCATATCAAAAGAAAAAAAGTCAGTGGCGCACATTTTTTTTTGAAAAATATTCCAGTTATAACCCCTAACTATATGCACGTCCCTGATGAATTTATCGACACTTTTTTAGCATTAAAATATGTAGCACTTATAGTAACTTTTACCATCAAAATTTTATTGGAATTACTAGTAGTACTTGGTAGAAAATTATAATATATCGAAAAAATATTAAGATTTTAACACCCTGTAGCTACGAAACAAAGCAGAATCGGACCTATGTATGTTGATAAAAAATAAATCTTATTTTTACGTAAGGAATCTCCCCACGAGACATGGCACATATTTTTTGAAACACCCTGTATATGAGGCGATAGTTACTACAGGCGAGTTGATTTTCAATTTTGGTTCAATATTTACCGCAATTTTTTTTCTTTTGAAAAATAAAATTGTTTTAACATACTATTTCTTAATAATTTTTATCAAGAAAAATCTGATGCTTCTTACATTTAAAAATACTTTATTATTACCTACATACCTCTGTTATTTACAAACAAACATTACTAACAATTAGAGATGGGGACATTCCGGGAATCTTATTTTGAGGGAATGTTCCTGGGAACGTTCCCCAAATCGCTATAGTGATGGGAATGGAAATTTTTTTTAATGTTATGAAAAATTGGAAACTTTCCGGGAAGGTTCCCGGAAATATTCCCCAAAGGGCAGAAAAGTGATAAAGTTAAGAAAATTTAACATTCAAAATATATTTAATAACAACAAAATAATATATAAACAACAACAAAAGCAACACAAGTCGATAAAAGAAACTTAGGTTATGTTTATAACTAAAATTTAGGTTATGTTTATAACCTAGTTTCTCTTCTTCTTTTTATTTGTGGTGTGGCATGTTCACAACTTTTCCAATGTTTTGATTACTTTCCCTAAATTTAAGAAAAGTTCCCAAAAAGTGGGAAATGTTCCGAGGAATATTCCAACTCGTATCAAAATACAACTTTCCCGAATTTCAGTCACTTTCCCGACCATAGAGGAACGTTCCCGGAACATGGGCACGTTCCCTGAGACACGTTCCGACCTGCACATCACTTCTAACTATACATAACTTTACAATAAAAATAATACATTCACTTATTTTAATGAATTTCACAAATTTACGTATCATGTACGTATATTTGTATAAATTAAACAATTAGTATATGTATAAACTAAACCAAACACAAATAGAAAGTTACAAACTAAACAAATTCTAGAAAATGTCAGACAAGGTAATTTTCTTTACCTTTTTAATTTCCCAATACGGTACTTAGACGTACCCAGTTGCATTGTTACAATATTAACGAATTTATGATGCAACTTGAATAGAAAGGCGTGTTTGGAACTAACTGCAATCGATAGATACACATGCACAATCAAAGGGCATACGTCATTTTTGCATTAATGCTTATTGTCTAAACAATGACCAGAAGTAGTTGGTATAATTGAACAGCCTAACCCTTAGATGAGATTATAAGTTCCTTTGAAGGAACAAATGGGTCGTGTGATATATAGAGTGTCCCAAAAAATAGTTGTCTGACAAACGGATCTGAAACAACTAGGTAATGGTAAGGAGCGTAATTTTTTAAAAACATGGCCGATTTCATTGATAAAATCTTCAGGGGCGTGCGGTATTTTATGAAAATATCAGGATTTTCTATATTTTCCAGTAAACTTTTTTTTTTGATGTATGTAAAGCATTTTGTCTAGTTATTTGCTAAATATAGTAATATTTGTTAGAAAGCATGTACTAATTATGATAGGCACAAATAAAGTTAAAGGTATATTCAATACTGTAACACCGCCACTGGATGTTTTTTCAATACTAGTCAATATTTTACTACTTTCAGAGGGAGGCACAAAATTGGGGGTAGCACTGACCAATAGGAAAACGTTTAACCGATTTATTATTATTTTTATTATTTATTATAAACCGAAGCGGATGATATCTTTATGAAATATTTACCTTTTGTAGTACCTACTAGGGTCGGAATTTCTGGCCTTGTGTGCCGATTTTCGTGTGTACAAAGAGTACGGTCAACACGCTTAGTAAAATAAGATGTACTGAATAAAGACAAAAGGCAAGTATTTTCCCAAGCGCATGAAATCTAGCGTCAGATTAAGTGGTTATGTAATAAATAGGTACTTCGTATTTTTGCTCTCTCCGACTTACTAGATTGCTATAACGATTCACTCGTATACATGTAAACGCCTGCCCAAGGTTTCGCTTGCCAGCAGGGTATATTTATACAGGATGGTCCAAACTGTATTCCGGAAACTTCGGCAACATATTCTACAGATAAAAATAAGTAAAAAAGTTCGTGTAAATGCATGTCCTAAAATGCTTAGTTTCGGAGATACAGGGTGGAGAAATTTCATTTTTATTTCGATTTTTTTCAAATAATTACTGAAGTAACGTCAATATTTGGATGAAAATTGGTGTCCGGGAATATTTTCATATAAGAAATTAGATTTTGATGTCAATATGACTCCTATTTGTAGGGGGGCCATCTACATGTGTTTTAACTGTTTTGAAGAGTAATAACTTTCCGTCCGTACCTGTATAAAACATTTCAGTGACTTTTTACGTAAAAAATGTCTCTTGGTAAAAATTGCTACGAGCAACAAATAAAGACTATTGGCAAAAAATAAACACGTTGAGTGGATAGTTATTTGACTGAAATAATAAATTAGGGAAATTTTCTTTTTAATTAATCATACATTTTTTTGAAAAAAGAAAATGACGATGAAACAGTTTCGTTGAACTTTTGGCACAAAAACATTTCACATATAGTCAACATATTTAATGTATGTCAATGATGACAGGTGTTGATAATTTCAATTCTAAATATCTCGAGAACTATTACTAGCAGCGATTTTTACCAAGAGACCTTTTTTACGTAAAAAAACGTCGTAATTGTATACTTTTTTACTTAGTAGTTTTATACAGGTATGTGTGAAAAGTTATTACATTTAAAACCAATTAAAATATATGTAGGTGACGCCCTATACAAGTAGGAGTCATATTGACATCAATAGCCAAATTTCTCGTATCAAAAAACTCGCAGACACCAATTTTCATCCAAATATTGACGTTACTTCATAAATTATTTGGAAAAAATCGAAATAAAAATGAAACTTCTACATCCTGTATCTCCGAAACTAAGCATTTTAGGACATACATTTATACGAACTTTTTTACTTATTTTTATCTGTAGAATATGCTGCCGAAGTATCCGGAATACAGTTCGGATCACCCTGTATATTATATGTATATAGGGTGGCCCATCGAAAACGTTAAGCAAGGCATAACGGCCAGGGTAATTTTTTTTCAGAAAATTCAAAAACACGTCAATTTTGTTTGTGAAGGAGACAATTTTTGCCCCAAAAATGATTGCAAAATCTTCAACCCTCTAAGCGGGGGTGTCATCCCCCAATTTTTTTCCAATGGGAAGGGGTACCGCATTGAAAAGGGCTTTCTATTCTCTATACTTTCCCGCTTTGTTTTTGAAAATCGGTCGAGCCATTGAGAAAATATGAAGGATTGAAATTTGAAAAGTTTATTTAAACATTTATCAGAGTAAATGATAAGGATAAATTCCTTCGACTAATTTGCTGTTTTTTTTTTCTTATTATTTCTAGATGTTTACGCATCTTTTCACTTACCACAAGGATGAACGATCGGGTTAGGTAGAGTGTACTTTCTTTTTGAAAGGTGTAGTTAATCGGCACAACTGTCTGTACTGGGCTGAGGACAACCCCTTGGTTTTTCACGAGGTGCACACACAAAACCCTAAGAAATTGAACGTGCGGGCTGGTATTTATAGAAATTCTATTGTGAGTCCTTTTTTTCTTCCTGGAAATCTAACAGTAATATGTACTTGGATTTACTGGAAAATACCATCGACCCAGCCCTAACTGACATCATAGAGAACAATCCTGGATACGTTGAAGCGGAACTAATATTTCAACAAGACGGTGCACCTCCACATTACTCTCAAAATGTGCGTAATTATTTAAACAATAACTTTCCCGTTCGATGGATAGGACGAAGGGGTGCAATTGAGTGGCCTCCCCGGTCACCCGACTTGGCTCCTTTAAACTTTTTTCTATGGGGACACATAAAAAGTAAAGTATATAGCACTCCACCCGCCTCATTAGAAGACCTGCGAAGACGAATTATTGATGTTTGTTGCGAAGTGACCCGGCAAGTTCTTCATAATATTCTAGAACGGGTTGAAATAATTTGTATTACTGTATGGAGGTTGACGGGCAACATTTTCAGCATTTTCTTCATTAATAAGATAAGTTTTTTTTAATTAATTCAATTTATGCGTTTTTTGCAAAAAAGTACTTTTCAAATTTCAGTCTTTCATATTTTCAAAATGACTCGACCGATTTTTAAAAATGAAGCGGGGAAATATAGAGAATAGAAAGCCCTTTTCATTGCGACGCCACTTGTCACAAATCATTTTTGGGGCAAAAGTTGTCCCCCTCACAAACAAAATTGACGTGTTTTTGGAGTTTTCGAAAAAAAAAATACCCTGGCTGTTATGCCTTGCGGAACGTTTTCGATGGGCCACCCTGTAGATAATAGTGGTACTTACATAATTGTGGTGAGTACGACGTATCCGAAGGGGGAGCATTAAAGGCACTATCGGGTTTAGCGACTATGAGCACTACGCAGTCCTGCGTAGTTTTGAGCGTAGCCACGGCATCCTCGTGAGTAACATTCTCTAAATTTACTTCACCTTTCTGAAACAAAGAATAAATAAAATACTAATCCGTTTTATAGGTTAATATATTTTTTGATACAAACATTTTTGCAAATAAAAAAAACACTAAAAACATAAAAAATATAGATTTCACGTTAGAACTATTACAGTAATTTATCACAAAGCTAGCAAACCCCAAGGCTTAACAAGCTCGACCGAAGAAACATTTGTTCTAGAAGAAAAAAAAGAAGGAACTAAATTTTTGTATAACGACTTCCCGAATACAATCCCCCGGGCTAAAACAACGCAGGTATGGCAAAAATGAAATAAAAAACTTTCCTGTCTAACTAATTTAATTAGTTGGCCGAGAAAACCGGATCTCCCAGTTCCAAACTTCGTCGAAGAACTTGGAAGTCTAAAGTTCTTACAATAATTTAGCGTAAAAAGACTGAAATTTGAATAGTTTCTGGTTAGAAAAAGAAAGATGAGAGTAATGGCTTATAAATATACTTTCTTCTTATAGTATAAGAGCTAGCAACGTTTTCGTGAAAGTATTTAAGACGTCTGGCTCTTTGATATATATTTTACTAGCTTTTACTCTGGAACAGCATGCGGCCCATCTGGCTGCCGATACCCGTTGCGTTCACTACTGCGCATCGGAAGAAAATCCTATATTTTTTATTAATTTAGTCCTATAAATTCTAGTATTGAATATAAATCGAACATGTCTCCATAGCGCAGTGCGTAGAGTTTCCGACCACGAACCGATGATTCAGAGTTCGAATCCGGGTCAGGTCAAAGACTTTTTATTTTATTTTCGTTTATATTCTAATAGTAAAGTATTAAATAATTCTGGTAATTAAATAAAAACAAATGTTTAATATTTTACTATCAGAATATAAACGAAAATAAAATAAAAAACTCTTTGCCCCCACCCACAACTCTGAATCATCGGTTCGTGGTCGAAAACTCTACGCACTGCGCTATGGTGACATGTTCGATTTATATTCAATATTCAATACTAGAATTTAAAGGACTAATAAAAATATAGGATCTTCTTTCAATGCGCAGTAGGGAACGCAACGTTTACCGGCAGCCAGACGGGCCGCATGCTGTTCTAGAGAGCATAGTAAAAGATATATCAAAGAGTTAAAATACTTGTTTTTCCGACGTTGCTAGCTCTCATACTATTAGCAGCTAATTTAGAAAATACTTTTGCCAAATTGTGTAATATCTAAATGTATTTAAACTCTTTTTATGGGAGAATCAGCTATATTACGAGCTTTTATTTAATTTGCAACGTTCGTATGTCCGTTGACCTTTTCAAAATTTAGTAACAATTTTTCGACTAAACGGATTTTTAGAAAACTTTGAATATATACTGTATTCCTTTGTGTATAATTGCATAAAATTCAATCTTAGATAATCTCTTCTAAGATGTGTATAATAACTCAAGTTTCCACCCCGAATAGCAGGATAACTACATACAGGGTCCTACAAAAGTTCGTCTGGCATCTGTAGCTCCTAGAATAAAAAACTTGGGAATTTTGTTTAAGTGCGAACCTAAAGAACGCACTAGGATGTATTTCAGGAAAATATTTCAACTTCTATAGGATGGCTCAGAGAAGTGTGAGTCGATCGGGATGATTTTTAAATAGAACACCCTATATATTATTGCATTTTTGGCTTCCTTTCAGATCACTTTACATAAACACGGTCTTACACGATGTGACAAACAGCTTCAAACGTTGGACGCACGGCATTCGCCACATCGTGTTGGAGCGCAGAAATCCATGTGTCGAACGTTCGAAGTAAGTTCGAGCTCTTGTCGGTAAATTTTACGCGAGTCAAAGGACCTTCCAACGTTCGAAGTAATGTTCGATGCGCTCCTACACGTGAGTCTTCACGTTGCTGATATTTTACTAGGGATCAGTAGCGGCCTCGCTTTTAATGCTAAAACGTGGTCTCCTTAGGCTGAAAATTTTTCGTGATTTGTTCTTTGCCAGAAATATGTAAGTACATACATAGGTATATAGAAAGATTAATTATTGGTTTTCTTTGTGTAAATAAATATCTGACAGAATTTTTGATTATTACATTACTTTAGTAAAAACACTTAAATTTATTTTTATTCATTCACCTTTTTTTACTCATCAAAATTTTCTTCTTATATTAGATATGTGAATAAGTTTTTACTTTTTACTAAAATTACTTTTAAAATTTTCCGTTTTTAGTTAAAATGGAGTGTAATAATCAAATGATAATGGAATTTATTTCGATTTACGAGAAATATTCAATTATATGGAATCCGAGGCATTCCTACCATAAAAACCGGAATGCCTTAAATGATGCTTGGCGTGAAATTTCTCAGGAAATGACTATAGACTTGTCAGTAGCAGAATTGAAGAAAAAAAAATAATCTGTAATGGCAACGTATAGAACATTGAGGAGGAAAGTTATAGATTCTTATACAACCGGATCATGGAGTGCAGATATATACAAACCATCTTGGTTTGCTTATGATGCTATAGACAGATACATAAGAGTAACAAGAAATAAAATCCTGTTACGTCTTCTTTTTCTTTTGCTTCTGTTGCAGCAGTTTGGCGCAACAGAAAACTATCATACCAGCGGCAATCCCAGCACTAAATATATTATCCATATCTGGTCAAGCCAAGAGTACGTACGACACTGAGCTAATTTCACAAATGCAGCGCCAGGTTTGTATCTAAAGGTGCGTATTCATTATCCGCACGAACGAACGAACGAACGAATGTTCGCTAGTGGTATGAACGGGGACCGCACGATAGAACCGCACGAGAAGACCGCACGCATTTCTTCATTCGCGCGCCAGTTCAAATCGTCAAGATATTGTTATAAACCTGTTTTTTTTTGTTTATATACCGTCAACTATGGAGCAGTGCATAAGGAGTCGGGCTAGGAAGCGAGAGACCGGAGTTCGAATCTCGGCTGGAACATCACTTTTTATTTTTTTTTAAATACTGTTGTATTCCATGGTACAAAGAAAACAAGGTATGATCGATAGCGGCCCCAATTTCGTTAAGTTTGCGCATACCACCTGTGACGTCATACGCCATACAAAAAAATATCCATCTTGTGCAATTGCCACTAATAAAAAAAGACCTAAAATAGGGAAGAATTAGGACATAACCCTAAGTTATGTCAAATCATCGTGCTTAACATTTGAAAAATTATTCTGACATTTATTGTGTCATCTGTTTGACAATTTGAAATTGGCGCGCGGAACTTGCCGACCAATGGTGCCGTTTATCACCTGTGACGTAGTGACCAACCTGCGCAATATCATACCTTGTATTCTTTGTATCATGGTTGTATTCTATAGTTTATTTTTGTAGTATAAGAAAAAGAACTATTTATTCTGTTATTTTTTAATCTCCGTTATTAATATAAATTGATTGTTAGTACAATACCTCATTTAATATAAAATAATATTCTACTTTTTGAAATGTATCGGGCCCTAATTGTACCTAAAAGTAATATATTTTTAGTGATATACCATATTGTAAACTATTTAATATTTCAGTCAGTTAAAAAGTTAATTTGCATTGAATAATTGCCTACCATTAAAGGAAATTTGAGCTATATAACCCTTGATGGGCATATTCTGGGTATGCAAATACTTCCTTTAAATTTTGGGTGTCGTTCAACCGATTTATTCTCAAAACCAGAAACATCTACATATAAAAAGAAGCACAGGTCACTAATTATAATAAACTTCACCCTTGGTATTACTTCCACTAATTATAATAAACTTCACCCTTAGAATTACTTCTATCACAATTACAATACGTTCATCTGCATTGGCATTTTCTACTTTTCGATGGGAAACAATAAACTTCCCAATATTTTTTAAATGATGTAACAATTCCTCTTGTGGTTACTTTTCCATAGATATCCTCAACTCTGTCCTCATGTGAATTCAGAGGCAATGAAAATGAAAATTATTTACCATAAACATCGCAAACTAAAAACCTAATAAACAATTTTATACCGAATATAGAAATAAATTCAGTATTCTTACCTATCGTCCAAATCCATGTTAATAGATAATTATTATTTTTAAATATATTTTTGGAACTGCTGGTTTTAGTAATTATTAAATTAAACGAACTAAAAAGTCTTAAAATAAACAATTCTTAACCATAACCCCAAAAATTGCAGATCTCCTGTCAACTTTCTTTATTTTTAATTTATTCATTATTTTCCTAGTGACGTCACAGGTGGTATGCGCGAACTGAACGAAATTGGAGCCGCTATCGATCATACCTTGTATTCTTTGTACCATAACGTCTAAACGCCTTTGATGTACCGACTCGAAGCGGATGGTCGAGCGCACGAACGAACGAACGGCCGCATGCGTTCGGTCCCCGTCTAAATATACCGCACTTTCATTCGTTCGTTCGTTCGTTCGGATAATGAATACGCACCTTAAATCTGAAAGCGCACGCAGGCGAACGCCTTTGATGTACCGACTCGAAGCGGATGGTCGAGCGCACGACCGAACGAACGGCCGCATGCGTTCGGTCCCCGTCTAAATATACCGCACTTTCATTCGTTCGTTCGTTCGTTCGTTCGAATAATGAATACGCACCTTAACGTTGGAACGAACGTTCGAAGCATCGTGTAGGAGACACATTCGCCAATTGTAATATTGTTGAAAACTGTGTCAAATGTTGGTTCGAACGTTCGTTCGAACGTTGGACGCATCGTGTAGGACCGTCTTAATCCTAAGACATGAGTAAATATATTTCAATTAAATTCTTCTTAAAAAAAATATTAATAATACAAGAAGTGTCCTGAAAGCAAAACTATATTAGGTATTTACTTTAGAAGGTCTGTACTTAACTTTGCTATAAATGTGGAAATCGTAAATCATACAGGATGTTCAAAATTCTACGCCAAACTTTCTAAAAAATAAAATAATTTTTCTTCCTTATTTTTTTAAATGCCCTGAATATTATTTTTTCAACAGATGGGGACATAAAAAATGAACATTTTTTTATTTAGAGAAGAATTAAGATTTCACTGATATTGGCTTTTTTTACATTTCATATGAATGTAATGGCATTTTCCACAGTAAATTTTTATCAAAGCCACCCAATGATTTTTCTCTCGTATTTTACCATTGAAAGCGCCATATGAAATAATACTGCGCCATATGAAATAATACAAATCTGCAAAACTATTAAAAATTTTGAAATACTACAAATACAAAAACTGTTCATTTTTTAACTCTCCATCTAATAAAAAAAATAATATACAAGGTTTTTTGCATTAAAAAAAATAGAAAAAATATTTTATATTTTAGAAAGTTTGGCGTAGAATATTAAACATCCTGTATAATTTACGATTATTTTATTTATCAAAGTAAGTACAGGCCATCTAAAGTAAATACCTAATATAGTTTGATTTCAGGACAGTTTTTGTATCTTTAATATAGGTATATTTTTTTAAGAAAGACTGAAAAATATATATTTTTTATTTATTTACTAACATCTCTGAAACTATCGAAATTTATTTACTCATATCTTTGGATTATGTAAAGTGAAGAAAAGGGAAGCCAAAAATGAAATAATATACAGGGTGTTACGTTTAAAACCAAATCATCCCGATTCACTCACTCTTTTTGGAGCCACCCTATAGAAGTTAAAATATTTTCCTGAAATACATTCTCGTGCATACTTTATTTATTATTTTTTATTTTATTTATTTTACTTTATTACACTTAAACAAAATTCTCAAGTTTTTTTTTTAATCTAGGAACTACGGATGCCCGACGCACCATTGCCGAACGCTGCATACATTTAAATTTAAAATATTTTAGAAATATTAAGTTATTAAATTTTATTCTCTACTATCTTTTCTAAGTTCCCAAGCTCTCTCTTACAACTCCTCTCATTCTATTGGTCAGCCTTCAAAATGACTGAGGGTTATGGTAGACCAAATTGGCGCCCTCTACACGTTAGGGCGAGCATAATTCTCCAACGAAGCGCCGCCAGTCCAATTTATCCCCCGGAAAAATTACTAGGAAAATGGGGGATGAAGGAGAGAAACCGGGCCGCTGAGAGGTAATAGATATTCCCGCCGCATATTTCGGCGTTTAAAAATTGATATTGCTCCGGGAAAAAATCATATTTATTTAGACAAATTACCTGGGTTCAAGGGAGATGATTTTTTACATATTAAAAAGCAACTGCTTGGAAAGAATGATTAATGGTATGCATAAAAATGGTTTGTCCTTGATGATTTATTCAATAAACGTTGAAATTAGATATATAACAAAGTCCGTTATCTCATTATTTGTTTCGAGGTTTATAAAAGAATATTAAATAATATAAAAGTTATAGAAAAGGTTCAGATATACATTTGAAAACTATTATAGGGTACCTATATGTATAGAGTGCTTCAAAAATGTGTGGCGGATATAACATATATGTTTTTTAAATGCAACACTTTATTTTTTATTTTATTTTTAGATTCTGCATGAAATTCTGTAACTTTTTAATATACAGGGTGGTCCGAACTGTATTCCGGAAACTTCGGCAGCATATTCCGGAGATATAAATAAGTAAAAAAGTTTGTATAAATGCATGTCCTAAAATGCTTAGTTTCGGAGATACAGGGTGTAGAAGTTTCATTTTTATTTCGATTTTTTCCAAATAATTTCTAAACGTCAATATTTGGATGAAAATTGGTGTCTGGGAGTATTTTGACATGATAAATTTGATTTTGATGTTAATATGACTCGTACTTGTAGAGGGCGCCATCTACAGATTTTTTAATTGGTTTGAAGAGTAATAATTTTTCGTCGGCACCTGTATAATACTACTAAGTAACAAAATATAGATCCACGACGTTTTTTACGTAAAAAAAGTCTTTTGGAAAAATTCGCTACGAGTAATGGTTCTGGAGATATTTGAAATCAAAATTATCAATACCTGTCATCACTGACATAAATTAAACATCTTGACTAAATAGTCATTAGACTGAAATCATAAATTTGAAATGTTTTTGTGTCAAAAGTTCAACAGAAACTGTTATATCATTATTTTTTAGAAGAAAAATTTAGGATTAATTTAAAAAAAAAAGTTTCCAAATTTATCTTTTTAGTCAAATAACTATCTACTCTCAACATGTTTATTTTTTGTCAATAATGACATGTATGGACTGTTTCCATTTTAAATATCTTGAGAACGGTTGCTCGTAGCAATTTTTTACCAAAAGACATTTTTTTGACGTAAAATATAAAAAATCATGGAAATATATATTTTTTTACTCAGTATTTTTATACAGGTATGGACGAAAAGTCATTACTCTTCAAAACAGTTAAAATACATGTAGGTGGTGTCCCCTACAAATAGGAGTCATATTGACATTAAAATCAAATTTCTCATGTCAAAAAACTCCCAGATCCCAATTTTCATCCAAATATTGACATTACTTCAGAAATTATTTGGAAAAAATCGAAATAAAAATGAAACTTCTACACCCTGTATCTCCGAAACTAAGTATTTTAGGGCATACATTTATACGAACTTTTTACGTATTTTTATCTGCAGAATATGCTGCCACAGTTTCCAGAATACCGTTCGGACCACCCTGTATATGTATTATATTGTCAAGGTGTACGGCGACACCTGTCGGGGAACGAGCCAAGTAGAAGAAAAGCGAGTTCTGTAATTTCGAGCCAAACCGCAGAATTTACTGGCAGGGGGTCCCGAATGCTACAGAAAATTACAGAAATTTCTAGAAGCAGCCGGTACAGTATAAAGAACTGTGAACTATTTATATATATTAATTAGATGCTACAGGGCGTTCAAAATATTTCTGTGAACTACTTAAAATTAAAAAATCTCAAATTTTTTAAGTGACACGCCCTATATATTATTTTTTTTTACCCAAAATATTTTAAAAAACAAAAATAAATTAATTATCCTAATAAAGCTATGAAAAAAGCTTCAACTAATTATTATTATAGCATTCTATTAATTGGTGACCAATTAATAGCCCTATATATTTTCATTTTATTCTGACATTAAAAACAATTTACTTTTAACACTCGACCGTCTGACGTTTAGCTAACCATGTCAGCATCATCAGCAGGCGATTAAAATTTGCCCGTCCAGTGTAAAAGTAAAGTGTTTTGGTGTATTGTGTTGAATTGGTGTTTTATTTTGCTAATCTAGGCAACTTACCACAGCATCTCTGACAGCTACCAGCTTGTCACCCACGGCCAGCCTGCCGTCCACTTGGGCGGCACCGCCCTCCATAACTTTGGTGACATAGATGCCATTGTCTCCAGGGATATGTTGGTTGCCTATACCGCCCGCGATACTGAACCCCAAACCTTTGTTCCCTTTCACCAGCTCTATCTCCAACAGTCGCATGTGGCGGGGTTGCCGTCTCCGCCTCACGCTCTGCAAAAAAAAATGAAAAATTACAATGTTGTCAGTTATGGGAAAAAGTTGTAGATTTAAGGATGTTTTTCGATTTTTGTGTCCTTTTTAGTGGTGTACTATTTAATATTAGTTTTTCATCACTTTAATACTGTAACCAGAAATGTCTAATAATGTTCCTATTATGCAATATTTATGTAATCCCGCAAATGCGGGATTCCTCTGTGATTCCGCGGGATCAAAGTTGCGGAATTTACCGTGCGGGATCTGCGGGATCGACATCAGGGGATTCCCCTTACGGCTTGGCCATTAAATATAAGTGAAACAAACAGGTTAATTATTAGATTTCTTTCTGGCGCGTCTAAGTGAAGAAAAGCGTTTAACTAGTACTTGTGGACAATTACGTCAAATAAACTGCCGGACATAATTATCGGGACAAGCAAAATTTTAGGGTAAATTTAAAGTTGAATATTTCTTGAACAAAAAAAGCTTTTGGGATGCGGTTTGGACCAGGTTTTAGATGCATCTAGAGATGGGGACATTCCGGGAATCTTATTTTGAGGGAATGTTCCTGGGAACGTTCCCAGGAAGGTTCCCCAAATCGGAATAGTGATGGGAATGGAAAACATTTTTAATGTTATGAAAAATTGGAAACTTTCCGAGAAGGTTCCCGGAAATATTCCCCAAAGGCAGAAAAGTGATAAAGTTAAGAAAATATAACTTTCAAAATATATTTAATAACAACAAAATAATATATAAATAACAACAGAAGCAACACAAGTCGATAAAAGAAACAAATTTAGGTTATGTTTATAACCTAGTTTCTCTTCTTCTTTTTATTTGTGGCGTGGCCTGTTCACAACTTTTCCAATGTTTTGATTACTTTCCCTAAATTTAAGAAAAGTTCCCGAAAAGTGGGGAATGTTCCGAGGAATATTCCAACTCGCATCAAAATACAACTTTCCCGAATTTCAGTCACTTTCCCGACCTTAGAGGAACGTTCCCGGAACATGGACACGTTCCCTGAGGCACGTTCCGACCTGCACATCAATAGATGCATCTATTGTGATTAAGATACTATGTGGTTTTTGAACATATGAAAATATATTTAGCGAATTCTCGTATACAGGGTGTTTTATAAGAGTGAAAATTTGGTCAAGAATCTTTTTTACCGCAAATTTACAATTTTTAAAAAATCGAAATTTTTACCAAGTACGACTAATCTGTATTGAAATTAGAAAAAAACAATTTGATCGGTTTTTTATTTTTTTTTTGTTTTAAGGAAAATACGACGTTTTTTATACGATGGTCCTAAATGGTACAAAAAGCTTTGTACATTCTGCATATGCCAAAACACAAGTTAAAAAAAACTTCAACATCAGAATAATATTTTTATTTATAAAATAAGTAGATAAATTATAATAAAATTTAAGTTTATTTAATATTAAATATATTTTTTGAACACCCTGTATACATCGGTCCAAATTTCTGTACAGATAGTTTAAGATACACGCTATATCAATATATTGTGGGCCTATACAAAATGTACAATGCCTTTTGTACCATTTAGTACCAAATGTATGACTATAAATGCATATTTTTCGAAAAAAATCGTATTTTCCTTAAAACAAAAAATTAAAAAAAAACACCACACTGTTTTTTCTGATGAACTTAATGCAGAGAATAAGCATACATATATATAGATGCGTCTAAAACCTGGTCCAAACTGTAGCCCAAAATCGGAGAGAGAAAAGAAGAGCATTTATTGTTTACAATCTCGCATCTCGGTTTGCGGGATTGAGATTTTGGTGCGGGATTGCATTCCCTAGTTCCTATAATTTGACAAAAGTAAAAAGTATATTGATTTTTTTCCCTACCTTGAAAAGATCCAGTGGTTCTCAAAATTTAAGCAAAAAAACTATTTTTTCATAGACTTAAAATAAAATATAGACTACACTATTTACATCTCAACGCGGACAAACAACCTTTTTTGTACACATGTTTACTTCTGGGTACAGTTGACCGAGCCTTCCTCATCCAGCCTATGTTGTCACGTCTTTAATATTATCAATATTTTTTTTCTTGTTATACACATATATTGAGATATTAATACTACAGTTTAATAAAGTAGGTTTTAATATTCCAGAGATGTATTAAATAGTCCTTATACTACTAAATTATAAGTCGGATACTGTTTAAAAAGGATAAGTTCTTTACAATATGACAACACCGATTAGAGGCGAGGGAGCCTATTCATTCATTTATTACCTTGTAGTACGTGTCGCACGTGTGCGGTAAAGCTTTGTTGCCGCTATCTCCCCGGCTGTATTAACGCATTTTCTTAGCTTGTAGTGCTTAAGTGTTTATTTTATTGACTTTTTCTGTTCAAGAACTATAAAATATGGTTCGCCAGTGCCAAATTTGCAAGAAATTTGACTTAAATAATCCATTTAAGTCTTGAAACGACTTTTGACCGGTAGGCAACTCTCAATTTACCCATTGGGAGTCAGTGGCGTTGTTGTAGAAAGGCGCTTATTTAGATAATATTTTAGTAAAATGTAAAATCTGAATTTTTTCTCTTACATTACATTATTTACTTACTTACATTGTAACAAAATCATAATTATAACCCTGTTAATAATTAATAATGTTTTTATTAAAAATATATTCCGGTTTATTCTAAAATTATCTTCAGAATCTAAAATAACATACAAGAATTTTAAAATGATATTACATTATGAAACAATATTTTTTAATATACCGGGTCGTCTCAAAAGTGGCTAACCCTATAACTTTTTTTATTTTTCAGATAAAAAACAGATTTGTATGTTAGTAGGTATATGACATAAATTAGGATTTATTGACCTATGCAATTGTTTTTGGTCTCTTCCTGTTTCACCGAAATGATTACATCTTTTGATTTTTAAAGGCACCCTCGGTATATTGCTACTTTATTCGATAAAAAATGACACTCTGAATAGAATGACATATCATATGTCAACTTTTGACATTGTCGCTTAAAAACATATCCTATTTTAAATTTCAATCCAGTTTTTATCAATCCACTAAGTTTTAATCAAGGAGCCTTGGGAAAATAGTTTTGATCGTCTAATAGGTTTCGTGTCTTGTCTAGGCCGGTTAAAAGATGTACAAATCGTATTTTTAATCATACATATGTCAATTTTTTCAAATGGAACAAGGGTGACTCATTAGCATATTTGGAAAAAGCTTTTTTTTTATGAATATATTGATACCACACACTTGGTATTTCGAGTCAAATTGTCGTTATGAACCGCGTGTTACAATTACAATTAAACCATATGTGAAAATGTCAAAGTTGACATATGATATGTCATTCTATTCAGAGTGTCATTTTCTATCGAATAAAGTAGAAATATACCGAGGGTGCCGTTTAAAAATTAAAAGTTATAGTCATTTCCGGTGAAACAGGAAGTGACCAAAAACAATTGAATGCGTCAATCAATCCTAATTTATTTCATATACTAACATACTAAATCTTGTTTTTTATTTGAAAATATAAAAAATTATGGGGGATGAGCCACTTTTGGGACGCACCCGGTATAATAAAGACAGTACCGAGTTAAATAAATGTAGTTTTCATTTTATCCACTTCCTATCACCTTCCTTGCTTTAATGGAACAGATTTATGTTTTCTCTAATTTACATAATAAGACATCACTTAACCAGAAAATAAATTACAACAATCATATTTTTTTTCTCTCCCTGTCGCCGATTCTATTATATCTGTGGAATAGATCCTGTTTTGATTAATATTAGGGGTTGTAAATGTTTGACTAAAATTAATAATTTATTATTAATTTCAAAAATTACCTAATTTCGATTATAAAATTTCTTCTATAACGTGTATTTTATTATTTTTATCCTTTTTGCTACTAAATTGTTTTTTCTAAACTTTTATTTAAAAAACCTGTCCTAAATCTTAATAAAATATAAAAAAGTTTAAATACGATATATTTTTAATTTAATTATAGCTTCATTAAAATAAAAAAAATACCCGGCTATGATACGGAGAGTTCAGGTGTACTTGAGAAACGAAAGACAGTGTTGTGTTTCTCGGCAGAGTCGTCAGGGAACGACCGTTAAGACAGAGACAACCTATCTATCGCTCGTGTCGCACTCGTTATAACCTAAAACAATAACACAACAATAACAAGACAGTGTCTGACCGCATGTTCCAGCTATTTATGAATGAGATGCTCAGTCTATATTTTATTTTAAGTCTATGTATTTTTTAATTTTCATAGTAAAATAACTCTGTTATTTTGGACTTAATTGAAAAACGGCAAAGAGAAAATATGTTTCTTTTAACGAGATCTACTAGCTCTGAAAATATCTGCACTTATTTAAGACTCACCCTGTATACACACTAAAAATACGACTCAACCTTAAGACTCAAGGTTAACAAAATAAAAACGCATCATATTTTTTTCGAAAAAATATCTTTTTTTAAACACCCGAAAACATAAATTTTGTTAAATTTACTTTAGTTAAAAATAGGCCGTAAAAGCACCCATTAACGTGCTGAAAAATCATTGCATGCGAGGTGGAGCAAATTTTAGCGTCATAAAAAAACACATTTTTAACGGTGATGAAGAGCTATGGCTACGCATTATGTATGGCCAGAGTATTTAGTATATTTTCATTTTGTTTGATATTTAACAAAGAAAAATGTTTGGTTATGTTATAAAAGCCGTGTAATGTAATTATTTATCTCGTGTGCCAGACACTCAGTGAATTAACCCTAATTTACAAAAAAAATTAGCAAATATTTTTGTCTTCCATATACAGGATGATCCACTGTTTAGAAATATCCACTAAAAAATAAAAATCGATAAATTACATTTAGGTACAGAGTAAGAACTCTATGAGAGTAAGTGTTAAATAAGTGCAAATATTTTCAGGACTGCGACTGGGAGATCTCGATAAAAAAGAATCGTTAAATTTCTCTTTACTGTTTTTCAAATCAGTCCAAAATAACC